AGGTTCGAGATTCGCTACCGTTCCTCTCGTTGCAACCATGGGTGCGCTATAAGAGTGACGGTCACATGTACTATTTGGATATATATATGGGGTTAACACAATAGTTAGTGGTGGGCGCTGTTGACTAATTACCTTCTCTATAATCTTTCAGATCAAAATTAGGAGAGCTATTTACGAGTAGCCCTTTGTGCTGCTTTGCGCAAAAAATTCTGAAATAAACAAATATTTGTTTGTTTGTAGTTAAGCACAACGCTACACAATGGGCTATCTCTTTACTGCCCACTACAGGTATCGAAACCCGGTTTCTAGCGTTGTAATTCTGCAGACATACCGCTGCGCTACTGGGGGTGAACAAATACTTTCAGTAATTCATAATTGAATATTATGATATATATATGTATATAACTTTTATTATATTATGATACGTAGATACATATATATAATTTTTATTCATCACAATGATATTTTTTATTTTTGTTCTTAAACCGAACATTCTGTATAACTTGCCGTAGGGTAAATTTCTCACGGGATTATTTTTAATAGGAAGAATGAGATATGTTGCCGGGGTTTCATTTTCTATTTTAATTTATATTTGTATCTTCTGGAAGCTAATGTGGTTATACTTTTCTACATGATGCATATACTGTGTTAAGAATATTTGTGATTTATGTACAGCCCAGTGAAACGAGCCGTGGTGGTGAATGAGATATGTTGCTGGGGTTTCATTTTCTATTTTAATTTATATTTGTATCTTCTGGAAGCTAATGTGGTTATACTTTTCTATATGATGCATATACTGTGTTAAAAATATCTGTGATTTATGTACAGCCCAGTGAAACGAACCGTGGTGGTGAATGACCGTTGGGGAAGCGGGACTAGCTGTCGTCATGGAGACTTCTATAACTGTCAAGATAGGTACAATCCCAGTAAGTCTCACCATTTTTATTTAACAGTTGTAAAAGGATCCCCCAGTGGCAAAGCGGTATGTCTTTGGACTTACAATGCTAGAAACCGGGTTTCGATACCCGTGATGGGCAGAGCACAGATAGCCCGTTGTGTAGCTTTGTGCTTAATTACAAACAAACAAACAGTTGTAAAAGCAATGATAATAAAAAAGGTTTAAAATGTCATAAATATGTGTCAAAATGAAAGTAACGGCTGTGTAAAATATTTCTTTAACTATAAATACAGTTGCAATTTTTATCTTACTAAACGAACGAAAGTAAAAGCATCAAGATTTTTGTTGTAGTTAGGCACAAAGCTGCATAATGAGTTATTTATCTTACACAAAGCTACACAGTAAATTACCTGTACTGTGTCCACCATGGGTATCGAAACCCGGTTTTTAGCGTTATAAGCTTCAAACTTACCGCCGAGTCACTGAGGGCATCACCAAGGAAAAGATGTATGCGTGTATGTTTTCTTATAGCAAAGCCTCATCGGGCTATTTGCTGTGTCCACCCAGGGGAATCGAACCCCTGATTCTAGCGTTGTAAATCCAAAGACATACCGCTGTCTCACCGGAGGACCGATGGAAAGAACACAGTTGCCAAATAAATACAATTCTGTTACGATTCGCACAACTATCTCTTATACGAAGGTGACTTAAACTTGCAATCTTATTTGATATAATAAAAAACGTTGGCCCGGCATGGCCAGGTGGTTACGGCGATCGACTCGCAATCTGAGGGTCGCGGGTTCGAATCCCCGTCAAAAACACCAAACATGCTCGCCC